GAGCCATCAGCCCAGAGCCCGACGCGGGGCTCGAACTCACGGACCGCGAGATCGTGACCTGGCTGAAGTCGGACGCTTAACCGACTGCGCCACCCAGGCGCCCCAAAGCCTGTGTTCTTAAACCCACTACACCATCTGCCTGCATCGTTCCCCTGCCCTCCTCTCATCCTAACTCCCTCGCACTTGGTCTCTGCAGCCACACCTGCCTAACGCTATGGGCCCCTGTACGCTATGGGCTGCCTGGCAGAGTATGGCCTAAGAGGAGGCTCATGGAAGCCTCCCGATTAAGTGACATAGTTTATCCCTGAATCTACTACTCCTGCGACTGCACCGCACTTTCTGTGCAGTTCCTTGTGTGGTTTTCCATCGTGCGGGCCTCACAGGAAGGAAGTCGATTGGCCGAGAATGAGCTAGATATCGTTGGGTGCACGGACCACATACTACGAGTATAACAGAGACAGAGAGTAGACAATGTAGAGCCTAGACTACAGCACTGATCGTGAGAGACTGGCCGCCGCAAGGACGTGGGCAAAGGGACACTGGGTTACTGACCCCGCCGTGTCCAGCCCACCGCTTTACAAGATCAAGGCGACACGTTCAGGGATGTTTGAACGGCCACTAACGATTGCCTCCAGGGAAGGATCCTGGGGAAGCAGCCACCTTCGGCGGCCTGCGAAACAGTCATCGCGAGAACGGTTTTCTCGCTGAAAACCAAAGAGAATGGAATGTTTTCAGCTTAGGATACCTTGTGGACATTCTAAGGGGCAAGTATTCCCTCTTCTTGTCTCCCTTTCCAGCAAGTACTGGAAACAAGGGCAGCAGGCCCATCCCAGACACAGTGCTGTGCACGTCTTTGCCTCCTAGAATCCTTCCCAGGGCGCGACCGCTGTCCCTGAAGATGAGGTACTCCTCTCTTCTGAGAGCAAAAAGGATCTTTTACGTGTTTCTAGATAAGGGTTCTCTCCAAATCCAAGAGACTTGGGAGGCTGAGTGAGGGCTTCCTGGGACATGTTTTGTAGTCTCCAGAACCTATCACAGACAGAAAGTGAGAATCCACCCTTTCCTTTCTGTTCCTTTCCATCACTGTGGACAGACATGCAGCACTGGAGGTAGGTGGGAAGGGAATCACACGCTCAGTGTGGGTTATCGTCCGGGTGTGCGTGCGCCGAATATAAGAAGTCTTAAAGTTACCAGGCCCCGAGGAAGACAACTTACAATGATGTCTTGTCTGGTTTTGAAAGTGCTGATATAGTGGCTATAGTGGCTGTCGTCCATTTGCTGCAGAATCGCAATCATACAGGCCACAAAACCCCCCTGGAAGGAGAGAAGAAACACAAATCCAGAAGCCTTAGGCCACCGACTGGCAAAACAAGACCCGTGCGCACGTACTTTGGTTTTCGCCACCCAGTTACCGGAAAACAGGGACCCTCCCACGCTGGCCACATTCTGCGCCCTGACGGTCTACGAGGCACACGCTTTGCTGTTGCTGCTGACAATGATCTCCTTCCAGGTTTCAGTTAAGGAACGTGGAGGGCTTTACTCATCCCTTTACTAGTACGGCTTGTAGAGAGACCCGCAGGTCGATGGACACTGGCTCTAAAGGTCTCAGCTAGACGACGAGTTACAATACAAACAACCTGGGGAGCCTGGGTTGCTTTTTGAGACAGAGAAGAGTTGTAGTCCATTCAGAAATGTGTGAAATGGCACAAATCTGACTGTGGAGGGATGCAAGGAGGAAAAAGAGATCGTAAAACTGAGAGTGGATGAGCAGAGAGGGAAATGAATGCTCCCTGTCTCTCCAGCTCCAGAATCTTTCAGTTACCTCTGGCATGTTACGCACGTGTGATTATGGACGTGCTGGGGAGAAAGGGACTGAATAGCTTAGTATTTTTGTCAATTTATATGTATATTTAATTTTTTTTTTAACATTTGTTTATTTTTGAAGGACAGAGAGAGACAGAGCACTAGTGGGGGAGGGGCAGAGAGAGAGAGGGAGACACAGACTCCGAAGCAGGCTCCAGGCCTGAGCTGTCGGCACAGGGCCCGACGCGGGGCTCGAACTCACCAGCCGTGAGATCATGACTTGAGCCGAAGTCGGAGACTCAACCGACTGAGCCACCCGGGTGCCCCATACTATAATTTTTTAAAGTATAGACTAATTTATGTTTTCTTCTAGCTGCTTTAGTGCTTACTTTTTTTTACACTGACCTTTCATTCCGTCTGATGTTGATTTTTTTTTTTGGTTATAGCATGAAATAAAGGCAAATTTTTTTCCACGTTGTTCACAGATTTTCCAAGTAACATTTATTAAAAATCTCCACTTTCCTAGAAACGGGAACCCTCTTGCACTGTTGGTGGGAATGCAAATTGGTGCAGCCACTCTGGAAAACAGTGTGGAGGTTCCTCAAAAAAATTAAAAATAGATCTACCCTATGACCCAGCAATAGCACTGCTAGGCATTTACCCAAGGGATACAGGAGTGCTGATGTATAGGGGCACTTGTACCCCAATGTTTATAGCAGCACTCTCAACAATAGCCAAATTATGGAAAGAGCCTAAATGTCCATCAACTGATGAATGGGTAAAGAAATTGTGGTTTATATACACAATGGAGTACTACGTGGCAATGAGAAAGAATGAAATATGGCCCTTTGCAGCAACGTGGATGGAACAGGAGAGTGTGATGCTAAGTGAAATAAGCTATACTGAGAAAGACAGATACCATATGGTTTCACTCTTATGTGGATCCTGAGAAACATAACAGAAACCCATGGGGGAGGGGAAGGAAAAAAAAAAAAAAGAGATTAGAGTGGGAGAGAGCCGAAGCATAAGAGACTCTTAAAAACTGAGAACTGAGGGTTGATGGGGGGTGGGACGGAGGGGAGGGTGGGTGATGGGTATTGAGGAGGGCACCTTTTGGGATGAGCCCTGGGTGTTGTATGGAAACCGATTTGACAATAAATTTCATATATTGAGAAAATAAATAAATACATAATTTAAAAAATTAAAAAAAAATAAAAAACTTTGAATTCATGGTCAAAAAAAAAATCTCCACTTTCCTTATTAAGAAATAATAGAATTGTCATATAATCTAAAGTCTCCTTTTAAATGCTCTCAGTTTTGTTCTGTTGATGTATGTACTCTATTCCATGAGTCCAACACTATTTTTATTGTAGCATTATGTTTTCAAATCTGACAGCACAGTCCCCTCCACTCTTACTTCTATGTGGCTCTTCATTTATGTGTGTCTTGTATTTATTTACTTTTTAAAAAGTTTTTACTTATTTATTCATATGACGTGGGGCTCAAACTCATGGCCCCGAGATGCAGAGTTGTATACTCTTCTGACTGAGCCAGCCAGGCGCCCCATCTGGCTTTATTTTCACTCTCATATTTTTGCGACTAAATTAGATGAGATTCTTCCTTTATAATCCCTCAATAGGTACCGCTGTTATAAGAAAGGCGGCTGAATATTATCTGTTTATTCTGAAACCGGTTAGTTTAATAAGTTGTTTGTGACTTCTGTTAAAACTTTGTGAAGCTTCCCGGGTTTCCTAGAAATAGCAAGAGCGGAAGAGATGAACAACACAGTTATCAAACTGCCTTTCTTTATATGTTCTTCACATATGTGGCAGCAATGGCGTGGCAAGAACAATTAATTACCAATTAATACCTCAGTACAAGACCTGGATCCTGTTTCGGATCGCCTTGAGTCTTAATCTTAGCAGGCACGTCTCTGTATCCCTATTTGGACCAGCTCTGTCGCCAAAGCTGAGGCTTACAAGGGACATCTTAAGGTTTCTGCCTTGGCCACTGCTTCTGCCTGAAGGCCCCTCCCCACACCTTCACACTGCCCCCCCCCCCCCCCCCCTTCTCCAAGTCTTTGTTCAAATTTTCCCTTCTCAGGAAAATCTTACACGTTTTTTAAGTTTATTTATTGATTTTGAGAGAGACAGAGACAGGGCAAGCGGGGGAGGGGCAGAGAGTGAGGGGGAGAGAGAGAGATTCCCAGCAGTGTCCGCACTGCCAGTGAAGAACCCAGGGCTCAAACTCATGAAACCAAGAGATCATGACCTGAACCTATATATCAAGGGTTGGACATTCAACCAATTGGCCACCCAGGAGCTCCTCAGGCAGGTTTCTTAAGCTCTCTCTGCAATGCTTCCTGATTTGAAAAATGGAGCTAATGATAGAACCACCCTGTAGGAGGTGTGTGAGCTTTCAGTGACACGTAAAGTGCTTAAAATAATTTCTGGCAGGTAAAAAAAAAAAACAAAAAACAAAAAAAACAACAACAAAAAAACTAGCTGAAGTGGCACCTGGGTGGCTCCGTCGGTGAAGCGTCAGCTCAGGTTGTGATCTCACTGGTCGTGAGTTCGAGCCCCGTGTTCGGCTCTGTGCTGACAGCTCGGAACCTGGAGCCTGCTTCGGATTCTGTGCCTCCCTCTCTCTCTCTGCCCCTCCCCCACTCACTCGGTCTCTCAAAAATAAATAAATGTTAAAAACTTGAAAAAAAAAAAAACAGCTAATGGCCACTTCTATTGATTATCACTACAGCGGGAAGTACTAAATAGTGTTACTATTATCACTCCAATAAGGGTCCGATCCAGACGGTGTGTGCACATCACATACTGAGAATTAGAACACAACTACTTGCGATAACAGAGGAAGCACTGAACGCAGCCACCAACACCCTTCATCGCCTGCTCACCAAGGTTTAGGTTTTCCTTAAATGAAATATCGAACAAATATTCAAAGAGTATGAGCTCAAATGGGGGCTGAGTTTGCCTACCCAGGGTGCTCACTGATTCGGTATCTGCTGGAACGTATTGCAACAGGCTCTGTCTCATCGCTGATATGAGCATCGTTCCTCTAGAACGGACCTGCACTGTCAGGTTTACAAGGTCGCCAACAATGCTCCCCCCATTACCCTCCCTTCTCCCCCACCCCTGCTGGATCATTTTCCCTCAAGAGAAAAATCAGTGTTGCAATCAAGATCCGCTGGCGGTTAGAAACAAGGTCACCCGACGGGGAGGGCTGTGGGGTTCTCGCCCCCCCCCCCCCCCCCCCAGTTTCCTCAGGGCACACGGCATGCAGGCACAGCCTGTGACCCGTGAGAGGGGTCTGTGGGAATCCGGCCCCAAGACACCGGTCCGGAAGACCCCCAAAGGGCAGGTGGGACACTGAGAAGCGGCAGCGGTGGTGGGTCCCCTATAGCGACACTCACGATCTGCGGAGACTGGCGGCTCATCCCGATCACGGTCCTGTTGATCCTTCTCAGCAGCCGTTCCATGATCAGCTGGACGTGCATCGCCGTGGGACCCTGAGGGGGAAACACGGGAATCGACACCAACTTCTTCCGACTCAGCTTCACTTCTCCCGCAAAGAAGCTTGGACAATTGAGTTTTCTCTTTAAATCTCATTCCGGCTCTTCCCTGCAAAGTAATCTCTTGCTCGAAAAGGGAAAAAGAATCTCACAGAATGATAAGGACACTGCTACTCAGGAATCCGTTGAAAATGACTGGGTGTCACATTTCAAAGATGAGCCTCGGGAGGCAGGGGAAGGACGCCCCTCCTAACAGCCCAGATCGTCCGCGCACTCTAAGATCAAGGGGGCTACCAACTCCACGTAGTTCTGGGAGGAAAGCCCCTGGCATGAGTTCTCAGTCCTGACACTGAGCACATCGAGTAGCCCAGGACAACGAGGCACATGCATGGGAAGTAAAAGGCAAAAATTCAAAGTTCTTGCCACCTTCTGTGTAGGAGGAAAAACACTAAGAAATTCAAGTCAAGGAGACTGCTATTGACTGAATGTTTGTGTTCAGAAGTCATACGCTAGGGTTGGGGCGTCTGGCTGGCTCAGTTGATTAAGTGTCTGACTCTCGATTTTGGCTCAGGTCGTGATCTACAGTTTGTGAGTTCAAGCCCTGCATCAGGCTCTGCGCTGACAGTGCGGAGGCTGCTGGGGATTCTCTCTCTTCCTCTCTCTGTCCTTTCTCTCCCCCCCAAATAAACAAATACTTTATTAAAACGAAACAAAACAAAAAAGCCATATCCTGGGGGTGCCTGGCCGGCTCAGTCAGTAGAGCATGTGACTCTTGATCTCAGGGTCATGAGTTCAAGCCTCATGTTGGGCACAGAGATTACTTAAAAAAAAAATTTTTTTTTTTTTTTTTATAATTTAACCCACAAAAGTCATATGCTGGTGCTCTAAACCCTCATGTGATGGTACGTAGACATGGGCTTTGGGGAGGCAAGTATAACTGGAAGGCATGGCCCTGATCTTGTAAGGAGAGACACCAGACAGATTGTTTTTTCTCTGTCCACACACACACTGAGGAAAGGCCGTGTGAGGACAGAGAGCAAGGAGCTGTTTTCACGCCAGGAGGGGGCGCCCTCCCCAGGAACCCTACCGCGCCGGCCCCCTGACCTTGGACTTGCCATCTCCAGAACCATGAGAAATAAATGTCTGTTGGTCGAGCCCCCGTCTGTGGTGTTTTGGCAGAAGGAGTGGACCCACCCAGGGACTCAATACTTTGATTCTGTCACGTGTGACTCTGGGCAATCATTTACCTTTGCTGAACTTCCCGTGTTCCCGCACGGAAGAAAAAAAAGAACAGATCCCTTACAGGCATTAGGTGGGCTGGTGGGCACAGCAAACAGCACCTCGCAGACACGTGTTCTTACTTTTCCTTTCTTCTTTTTTTTGTGATTTGATGTTCTACTCATTCGCTCTACCTTAGCAATATTCAGCTTGTCTTTACAGAGCCTTTATCCTCGTGATAGACATTCTGAAACTCCCGGCTATTGCTTCAAATAGCCAAATCACTGCGATAGATAGTTTTATTAGAATACCAAGTATTCCTAGCGTCCCTTTCACACCTCCCTTCTCTGCTTCTTTGTTTGTATTATATATTCACTTGCTTCCCATTTCTTTGAATGAAAACGATCCGGAAAACCTCCCTCTCTCTTGAAACCGCTTTCTCCTCTATTTATGTAACGACACCACACCGCAGACCCAGCTCGGTGTGTTGAGTCCCGTGCCAGCCGCGGGTGGAGGTCGGAAAAGGAATCGGACGTTCTCTGACCAGGAGAGCTGGGGCTTAAAGATAAATGAGCAAAACGGACGGATCCTCGTAGAAGGTCCGCTCTGCTCAACTGCCGATCGCATGGAATCCTTGTAAAATAACACAAACAAACAAACACGGAGAAGGTCAGCTCCGCGAGGCCGGCTACTCGCTTCTCTCGTTCACTGCTGCGCGCTTACTTACATCCGTCACAGTGCCCGGAGCATGGGAGCTGTTTAAGACGTGCCTGTGACCTGAATCACAACTGCAGGGCTTTACACAAGATGTAAGGAGGACATGAAGGGATGTAGCGGAGTGGGGGACTCTGGGCAGGGCTGCCCCGGGAAAACCGCCTGGGGTGTTACTACAGCCGGACTTTGAAGCATATGGACAGTTTGCAGATCTAGCTTCGGGACAAGAGGAATCCTGGATGACTTAAAAAAAAAAAAAAAAAGGCAGAGGAATACATGTCAGTAATTAGAGCCTGGAATTAACTGAGGAGACGAGAAGGTATGGGAAGACAGATACAGTTAGTGTGTACACGTTTGTAAATTTATGTACCAACGTGTATAAACGATGGTGGGGGATAAAACCATAACATCATCACCAAAAAAAAAAAAAAAACAAAAAAAAACGATTGAATTTACTACTTTAACAGAGCTCTAAGATCAATAATTGTGAACGCTTTTCCTCATTACAGGGAACCTCATCAGGAAGACCAAAAAAAAAAAAAAAAAATTTTTTTTTCAAGTCAATTAAATCAGCACAAGATGTAAATATATTCAAGTCATTTCCAAAGAGTCCTTCTACATGATAAGAAGGTAGGTAAAGATACCATATTAAAAAAACAGGGGCGCCTGGGTGGCGCAGTCGGTTAAGCGTCCGACTTCAGCCAGGTCACGATCTCGCGGTCCGGGAGTTCGAGCCCCGCGTCAGGCTCTGGGCTGATGGCTCGGAGCCTGGAGCCTGTTTCCGATTCTGTGTCTCCCTCTCTCTCTGCCCCTCCCCCGTTCATGCTCTGTCTCTCTCTGTCCCAAAAATAAATAAACGTTGAAAAAAAAAAATTAAAAAAAAAAATAAAAAAACAAAACAAGGGGTACCTGGGTCGCTCACTTGGTTAAGCAACCGACTCTTGATTTCAGCTCAGGTCATGATCTGAAGGGGATTGAGCCCCGCAAACAGAGTGTGGAGCCTGCTTGAGATTCTCTCTCTCCCTCTCCTTCTGCCCCTCTCCCGCCTGCGCGCTCTTTCTCTCTCTCTCTCCCAAAGTAAATAAATAAACTCTAAAAAACAAACAAAAAACCCCCAAACAACAAAAACAAACAAACAAAAAAAACTGGGTTAGAAGTGGAAGAGATCAAGAGGTCTAAGAGGTCATCTGGAACCATCCCTACATGTTATGGGACAGGAAATTGATGTGCCTGCAGATTTGCCTAAAGATAAAGAGCTACACGTGCGGGGCACCTGGGTGGTTCAGTTGGTTAAGTGTCAGCCAGACTTCAGCTCAGGTCATGATCTCACAGTTCATGAGTTTAAGCCCTGCATTGGGTTCTGTGCTGACAGCTCAGAACTTGGAGCCTGCTTCGGATTCTGTCTCCCCCTCTTTCTCTGCCCCTCCCCGGCTCGTACTCTGTCTCTCTCTCTCACACACACAAATAAACATAGGAAGGAAGGAAGGAAGGAAGGAAGGAAGGAAGGAAGGAAGGAAGGAAGGAAGGAAGGGAGGGAGGGAACTACACGTGCTGACGCTGAAACCAGAAAAGAAACCAGAAAAGAAGCAGCCTGATTCCCATGTTTCCAATCAACTCTGGATCATATAGATACACTTCTGGAACACCGGAGCTCTGCCTAAACCAAAGCCCCTAGTACACTCACTGTTGCCAACTACAGCTTTGGGCTTCCTTTTAGTATTTTGATGACTGAGTCATAAAAGTTACTTTTTGAAAATATTATTATCATGATACAGTTGGTCACATTATTTATGTGTTGTAAAATCCCTGGTTAGGAATCCAATACCCAATCACAAAATTCCTTGGGGAAACCTATTGTGTTTTATGTGGTTTCTAGAAACACATTTAAGAACAAAGGAGGAGGAGAGTGACCTATAATTAGTATCAGATAAATAGTACAAACAGCGAGGTGGGTTGAGGGTGGGGTTAGGTAGAGAAGGCAAGGGCGTCCTCCGGGACCCCTGTGGCTGAGGCGTGAATTTAGCAGAAATGCAGGCGTGCCCGTGGCCATCCTGGGGTTGACTCTGAAAGGCGAGCTAAGAATTCAGCCATGGGAAAAGGGACAGAGAGTTCTTCAATTCCTTTAGCAGAACCGAACCTAAAGACATTGGTAAGAGGACGGGCTTCGGCAAAGCCAAGAGCGTTTTCCCTGCTCTATAGGAACACTGGCGCCACGTAGCCATCGCGGGGGGGTGGTGGTGAGTAAGGTTTGTGCTCAACTGAACACACTGCTAACTTCTGCGGCCTCTTAGAGGAGGCCACGGCTGGGCTATGGGCTGTGCTATCTCTAGAACATGGTAAATCCAGGCAGATGCAGCCCCAGGGTTTCGGGGAGTAGGGATGCCTAGGTCACAGAGGAGATGCGAGAAAAGAAAGCACACTGTGGCCGCTAGGCCCCAAAAAGGAAGGATCAGTGTGAGGACATAAAACTGAGAATGGCTCAGAAGCTCAGGAATGTCTACAATACTCCTGGAGGGCCGAGGTTTCTGCTTAAAACATCTGAACAGGGGTCCGGTTCTTCGAAGTCCCCTCGGGGATCTCCACCGGCGACAAGCCTGGAGAAGCAGTGGCTGCTGGCGCGAGCAGTAAGCGGACTCTCCTGGACCTCGGTGTACGGAGAAGGCTCTAGCAAGCAGCAGCCTCTCCGATCACCCCCAAACCAGCCGCAGCCTGCCCCAGTAGCCAGGCTTCTACGCCCCCTGGGTGGGGCCCTCAGATAGGGAAGGCCGTGAAGTCCTTCTTGCCCTAGGGAAGGGACGAGCCTGTGCTGTGGTATGCATCGGGTGACAGTGACGATTCAACTCACCACATCCTTCCTGTCCAGCACTTCCAGGATGTTGCTCAGAAGCTGCGAGCTGGCCTCATGGTCGGGCTTGCTGGAGTTGTCATCTAACTGGCCGCTGAGCTGGTCGATCAGCAGTGGCAGCAGGACATCTCTGCACTCTGGGAGGGAAGATGCACGCGGCTCACGGGCTGCGGCGGCACCCCCTGAACTGCCCAGCTTCTTGCCTGCAACTCCCTGACCCCGCCCCCTCCCCCCACTACAGCCGCAGCCAGACCTCTTGGCTCCGCCCAGTGGGGGTTTGATCCCTGCAGGCAGCAGCATGAAACTTCAGTCCCGTAACTTGATTTTTATTTGTTGATGTTTTTTATTTTTTATTTGCTCTGAGGAGGGGGAGGGGCAGGGAGAGAGGGGGAGAGAGAGAATCCCAGGCAGGCTCCGCGTTCGGCACAGAGCCTGGCGCAGGACTCCATCCCACAACCGTGAGATCATGACCTGGGCCGAAATCAAGAGCCGGGACGCCTAAGCGACTGAGCCACTCAGGCTCCGCAAGTCCCGTGACTTGATTTTAAAAGCCAAGAAAATTACACCTGTCACGGGTACCTGTGCGAAAACGTTTGAAGTATTCAACAATTTCTTTAGCTTCAATAAAAAAAATGCCAGCTTGCTCGTTGAATGCGGAGTCGTATGAAATGAAAAACTTAAGCAAGTTATACTTAATGTTCGAAAGCTTCCACCTAATGGAGAGAATCTGCTCTAAAATTCATATAAATACTGAGTGAGCTTGATTAGTACCTCTCAATGTGTTTTGAGGACATTCGGATGTTTTTGCTGGCGCATGCACTTCACAAAATAAGGGCTTATCTTTCTATGATGTCTTTCTTCTGGGATCTTCACTACTATAAAACATTTTTATGATGAGGCCAGAGATCCTGGCCACAAACGGAAATAACTGTTAACAGTGAGATTACTTCCTCTAACTAGAACCACGCGGCGCATGCTTGCAAAACACCCCATCCTTCTCACATCTCATTTATCCTTTCTGCACGCTTAGCGGCACGGGCGGCGCGGCATGTTAAGATGTTTCATGACATTACATTTTCTACTTAAGAGCATTCACCAGCTTCGCACACACTTCCAACGGTGTCCTTGCGACAGCTGGAACCTCTAAGCAGAAATCCACAGGGTCGGGAAATGTCACAGCCAAAAGGGGCTGCTGATATGATATAGCATGGTATGCTATATGATATAGCCGATATGATATATCATAGGTATATGATATAGCTGATATGATATAGCATCTTCCTTCCATGGAGATGGATGCTGACTCACAGGAGGCTCTTCGTGTGGCCAAAGTTACATAACTAGCCCCAGGGTGAGGCCAGGAGGCCTTCCACCGATAACCCACTCCCCTTTCCCTATTTCTGAGGAGTTCTGCGGGTCCTCAGACCCTCCAGGCAACACATGCAACATGGGCTCACCCTCTGGGAGCCCCTGACCTGGGAGTACTTCCCACAGCTGTCCCTGTTTTGCAAGTCTTGGGTTTTGGGAAAGACCAGCTACTGGACCTCTTCCTCCTCTCAGCTTTGGGACAGGAGCACAGTGATTTAAACTTGGTGGCTGCACTGCCTTCCCTCTACTCACCAAATGAAGAGTATTTCATCCATGTGAGAGTTTTCTCTCCTCCGTGCCCTCTGCCTTTCCAGTCGTATGCTGGTGATCTGGCTCCCCAACTAACAGCCCTCCCCACCGCACCCCACCCCACCCCCAAACCCGTAACTCACAGTGCTTGCCAATTTCTGTGGTATAAATACTTCTACCGTGGTCCATTTTCAGCTCCTCATGTGACATGACAGCACAGAGTTGAGAGAGATCACCTAATATGCTCTCCTGAGCTGGGACAGATGGCCCCAGCACACCCCTGCACTACCGACCCCTGGCTTTCCAGAATACACAGTAAGTACAGGTCGAAGAAGACATACTTGTTTAAAAAGACTATCTTTCTACTTGCCTGCAACTTTATGGGGGGGGTCCATTTTTAGGACAAAGCACTCTAATTAATGAAATACTGGATTGTTCTCATTTAAAAAATGCATGATTCTGGGGGCGCCTGGGTGCCTCAGTGGATGAAGCATTAGGTCACAGTCTCGTGGCTTGAGTTCGAGCCCTGCTTCGGGAGAGCTCCAGCCCCACCTTGGGGGAGATTGAACCCTGCTTCTCTCTCTCTCTCTCCCTCCGCCTCTCACTCACGTGCGTGCACCCTCTCTGTCTCAAAAAAAAAAAAAAAATTAAATTAAAAACGCATGATTCTGTTCTTTAAGATACTCTTGGAAATACTGAACTGACTTCGTCTTCTTAAAACCGGTTTCTCCGGAGGTCCCTAAGTCCTAAAATTCTACTGGCAAGGACATCATTGACATTGAAAAAAAAAAAAAAAAATTTGGCTGAAGCAGCAGCAAGCCTGGGGTTTTGGTAAGCAGTAGTTGTTGGTGAAGACGTACCCGACTGCCGAAAAAGATTGCTCTCCACTATCTTGGTCATGCAGTTAAGTTTCTGGCGAACTAACTGGTTGTCAGGAATGCTCTGAATGAACTTGCAGAAGAGCATGCTGCAAAAGAAACCCCAGAGGTTGGTATTTTCCCTCCGTCACGCTCAAGGTATCATTACACGGTTCCCCTCTACTGTGAGATTTGGGCATGGAGAGTCTGACCTGGAAATCTCTCCCAGAAACCCTGAGAGTCTGTCCCTTGGAAGTAAAGGCGAGACTGTATTCTGTGAGGGCTACAGCGCTCAGCCTCGGGGCTGCCTCCGTGTAAACTGTCAGAGGGCGGTCACATCTATCCTGGCCTTGCGGACGTGCCTTAACACTCCTTCTGCACAATCCTTTTCCGGCTGACTTCGCTCCGGTGTCGCTCACCATCTGACTTAGCCGGGATACTTAGGTATGGGGCTGGAAGCGTATCATTATGTGCTTTCTTCTGTAGTTAATTTCATGTCTGCGCGTCTTGATTCCCCCCGAGAAAGTGCAAATCTCTCTCAGGGGCAGGCTTTGTGTCTCCTTTTAGATCTTCCACAGCAACGGAGCGCCAAAAGGGGTCAGAAGAATACGAGAACGCGTAAGCAGCCCAGGCCCCAGCCAAGCGGGGAGCTGCTTCTCTGGTAAAGTCCACAAACAAATGTGTTTTGCTATTTACCTGAGCTCAACAGGATCGAACACAAGTTTGACGTCATTAATTATGCTGGGAAGGTACTTCAGAGCTGCTCCCTGTAAGAAAAAGGTACCAAAAGGCAAATTCAGTTGCCAAGCAGGATGAATACAGGATGTACTAGTTAACCCCAGGAAGAAAAGGCTTGGCTCAACATAGGGAACTGGAAACAGATGATCTTCCACTGGAGAAGAGAGCTCAGTGTTGTTAGATGTGATCTCCTAAAATCTTTTTCCTTAAAAGTCAGGTGGCATGGCTTTTTTTTTTCTTCTTCATTACCAACAGGCACCATTTGGAACTCATTTTTCTATCTAAGGAGGTAGTTAAAATCTTGACGTCTCCCTCACAAAGTGGCCATAAACAACAAAGAAGAAATAATAAAGCTCAGATCTGAATCCTCAGAGATTGCCTATTTTACATTAAACAATCGATAACAGGGGCGCCTGGGTGGCTCAGTCGGTTGAGCGGCCGACTTTGGCTCAGGTCATGATCTCGCGGTTCGGGAGTTCGAGCCCCGCGTTGGGCTCTGTGCTGACAGCTCAGAGCCTGAAGCCTGTTTCAGATTCTGTGTCTCCCTCTCTCTCTGACCCTCCCCTGTTCATGCTCTGTCTCTCTCTGTCTCAAAAATAAAATAAAATGTTAAAATAAATAAATAAATAAACAAACAATCGATAACAATGAATATGATGGTGACTTTTGGCTTCTGGGAAGAATGGGGGAACTTAGAATAAAAACCTGTTGCCTGTAACATCAGGATCCACGGGCTGAATTCACAGGGGCCACAAAAGCCATTCACAGGACGTCTAAAAGGATAGTCTGTCTTTTTTTTTTTTAAGTTTTTTTTATTTATGTATTTTGAGAGAGACAGAGACAGAGACAGTGTGAGCGGGGGGAGGTGGGGAGGAGAGAGAGAGAGACAGGGAGAGAGAGAATCCCAAGCAGGCTCTGCACTGTCAGTGCAGAACCCGACGTGGGGCTCGAACCCATGAAACCATGGGATCATGACCCGAGCCGAAACTGAGAGTTGGACGCTTAACCGACTGAGCCACCCAGGAGCCCCTAAAAGGATGGTCTGTCTTTGGCAAACTGCCATTTGAGAATATATTTGAGAACACAAATGTACATAAAAGTTAACACACAGGCTTTTCCCTTAACAGCTTTCCTTAGTCATACTAAAATTCACTAGCTTTCCACGAATTATGATTCACTTTGTTTCTCTCCCCACCATGGCCCAGTCTGTGTTGTCACCGAGCATCCTCAGCAACGGCACTGAAAGGGGCACCCGTGCTACACCACACTGACCTTGATCTTGACAGCTTCCTCCAGAGGCCTGTCCATTAGCGTATTGAAAGCGAAAAACAACTGGCGGATTGAATTATTGAATTCGTCTCCATCTTCGCTTTGGCCATAAAATCTTAACAAGGGAAAGAGAAAAGCAGTCAGGTTTTCCGTCTTTAAAAAGACATGTTCAAAAAGATCTGTTGCCTCAGCAACGCTGGCGGTCCATGCGTCTCCCCCCGTGATAATCCACTTTCCACCTAGGAGATGAGAGGATCCCTGGAAACGTAAGCCAGATTTTACTGCTTCTCCGACTGAAACCCTTCGACGGTTTCCCATTCCACTTGGGAGGAAATCCAAGCTCCCGACCACGGCTTACCTGGCCCTTCCTCGTTTGTCCTTAGCCTGCCACTCCCCATTTTCATTCCCATTTTAGTTCCCCTTGCTCCAGCAACACTGGCCTCTCCTGACTCCTCACACAGGCCCCACAGGACCCTGGCCTTAGCAGTTCCCGCTCCTGCATGCCTCTCCCGGTTCACCGGTTCAGTCTCAACCCAAACACCAACCCCTGGAGAGATCTCCCTCCCTCCCTCCCTCCCAGGTTATCATCTCACCAGCCCCTCCCCTGTCAGCCCTTACCTATCCGAATTTATCTTTCGCTGTCTTTCTTCGCTCTGCCTTCCTGGCTTCCGCACAACCCACAAGCACTGTCAGAGCGGGAGCCTTGTTTCATCCCCTGCTAGATCTCCAACACCCAGAGCAACATTTGGCACCCTATGTGCCAGCACTTAAAAAAAGGGGGGCTAATACAAGACCGAGGGATGAAGATGGGAGCTCTCAGTGCCCTACGGTGGGCAATTTACAGTTTTAATTCTCCCCAGGTGTCTCCCCAGTGGAGGTAAACTTCAGCCCGGAAGTGAGCTCAGAAGAGGAACGTAAGCTCCGATGAGGGCAAACAGGGTGGGAGGTGGGAGGTGGGGGTGTGGTGACATTTCTTTTGCAGCTCCTGGACAGGGCCAGTAAACTGATGTGTCTATCAGATCTAAGCAGCCAGAGAATGTAGATTTCTAGGCTTTCTCAGATCAAGTTCTTCCTTAATGAGAAAAAATCAGGGGGGTGGAGGGGAACAACTATAAACAGGTGCTCAGGGACTAAGTTCAACACAGCAACTCCCTTAGTTAATTTCATGGGTTACTTGACCACACTAATCTTGGCTTTTCCACTGTTCTCTTCCTACATGATGTTGAAAAGGATGGTTTAGATGCGCTGCAACACTGTCAGTCAGGGGCGGCACCCTAGTGAATCATCAGTGGAAAAAACTTCTCAATTTCATAAATTACGGTTTTCTTTCTATGGTTTTATGATGATTTTCGTTGCTGGACATCAGAGTTCACTACACAAACGTTCCTATAAGGGAATGCTCCCTCAGTGGGACACTCCAGGCCCTAACTGAATTTGTGGAAATTCAACATAATTGCAAAATACAAGGAACTAGCTATAAAGGAAGCCTGTCTGATGAGAGAGAGAGGGAGACTAAAGAGATTGTGTATAATCCAGGGTTTGGGTAAACCCTGCTCTCTTCTGCTAGGGAAGGAGGAACTGTCTCTCACCCAGCTGAACTTTTAAGTCATTAAGCGTTTTTAAAAAGTATAAAAATGTACAAAACCACTGCAGAAACTTTAAAAAGGCAGAGAGAATAAAAACAGCCTGCTTAAAACCCTCTTACCTACAATTTTATTCCTATTAAAATTTCAGTTTCCGAACCTATTATATTTTTGAAATGGGATCATATTGCACTTATGTCTTATGCCTTAGTTTTATTATTTAAGAACACCGTTATCTTTCCTCATTAACATTTTTTTAAAGGGCTGAATATACATATTTTATCATTCAACTTTGTTCACTACCTGATGGACTTCTTTCCATCAGATAAATTCTTAGATGGGCTATTAGTAACCAACGTGGTATTTTCTTTTGCTTTTTGTGGTTTTTGTTTTGTTTTTGCTTTTCATTCATGGTGCCACATTTCTGCCCTTAATAAATTTACATTCCTATCAGCATTAAAATGCAGGACCGATTTTTGTCCAACTTCATCAAAGGATAAAGATTTTTAATCTTTATCAATTGTATAGATAAGAATAGTGTGTGCGTATAGATAGCATTTTGATATTGTGACTATTTTTTAAGAAATTTAATTTACTATTTGAATTTGCCTCTTGTAAATTATCTGTTTTTGTTTTCTATTATTCAAGGGTGTTGATCATTCTTTTGTTGCCTGATAAGAGCCTTTCACTAGTAAAGCTAATTAAATGTTTTGATCTATACAGTATGTCACAAGCTTTTTAAATGGTAATTGTTTGCCTTTAGTTTTATGACTTTTTAAACATATCATATTAAAAACAACAAAAATGCTCAAATCTAGACTTGAAACCCTCTTACCTACAGTGTTATTCCAAATAACATTTTAGCATGCTATCTGTCCAGTTTCCAAACCTGTCTTAACAATATATTTTAACAGTTTGGAAATCCTGCAATTACTGAAAGGCAGAAATGGCACGGGGCTGTGGGCATTCCCAGAGAAGTTATTTTCTCATTCTTCGTCTTGGCTATTTTTGACGGAGCTGTTATTCTAGAAATTCAAGGTGTGAATTATCCTATCTCTGTGGCTTAGTTTCATCACCTAGCTAAGCATGACGTCAGTAAAGAAACACACACCTGAGGCAACATCTCCCCCAGACACCTGCCATCGTTCACCATCCACCACCACCAAGAGCTCACGATCCTAGATTTGTACACCCGGTATCATCACGAAGTCCTTTACTGTGCTAAAGGTAGTCTTGCCACAGGAACCTTGTTTCCTAGAGCTGTCATCGCCAACCAAGGTTTTCACCAAGCTGCACACTGTAGTCACCCGCATCCCCAAGTCCTGTTGTCATTACTGCCCTAGAAATTCTGACTCGGAAGGACTTGGCGCAGGCCTTCTCTAGGGGTTTCAGGGTCTACCTCCATCTTCAGCCTTGAAGTTCTGAAATTTGGCAATTCCATGAGCCAACGATGACTCGCAGAGCTGAACATGAGCGTGAGAATTAAGGACAAGTCCATGAAGAGACAATAGACAGCATGCACATCTTATTACAGCTACATTACCTCAAGTAGAGTACTCTCGATTGGATGATGAACCTAAACAAGTACTTTAGGGCTTTCAAAGCAGCAAAAAGCAATTCTGTCTTGCTGGAGTCCTCTGCATTAGCCACATAGAAGTTCAGTACCTTGGAGAGTTTCCTTAAAAAGGTGAGAAAGAAAAAGATGTCAATGGGGCCAAGTGGTACTCAGGTTTGGGGGATGCTATCTAGGAAGGGAACCTGGCATACTGTGGAAGCAGAGGTCACAGCTACTATTATCTCTTCTAGAAAAGGCCCTGAGCAGGGAAATAAAATTCATCTGCAGCTTTGTTTCCTCACTGCTGCTGGGTTTGGAGCTTCCCTTATGCATAGAAATAGGGGATGGTGGGGAGCCTGGGTGGCGCAGTCGGTTGAGCGTCCGACTTCAGCCAGGTCACGATCTCGCGGTCCGGGAGTTCGAGCCCCGCGTCGGGCTCTGGGCTGATGGCTCAGAGCCTGGAGCCTGTTTCCGATTCTGTGTCTCCCTCTCTCTCTGCCCCTCCCCCGTTCATGCTCTGTCTCTCTCTGTCCCCAAAATAAATAAACGTTGAAAAAAAAAATTAAAAAAAAAAAGGAAAAAAGAAATAAGGGGATGGTTTCTTTCGCTTTGTAGGATTTTTTAACAGGATCAAGAAACGAAAGTGAAGGCATTTGAAATCATGAAGGTATTTTAATCTCCAGGGTGCCCTACAGACATCTTCAGTCATTCCTGTAAGGAAAGGACTATCTGCCTAACGTAGTCACCCTGCAAGAAGTCTGATTCTCTCCAGTGTGCCTCAACTCTTTGGGATCCCCAAAATGGGGCCAGAGCAACACTCCAGTGACTGAGGGAGAAGCTCAATCGGACTCGGGCTCAGTTTGATGAGAATACCCATGGTTTCTGAGCATCCCAACAGACAGAACCATGCTCAGATGTCAGACTGCTCTTTGTCCGAGGCGAGGCATTTTCTTACGTCTTTTTCTAACTCCCACGTTTGAGGACATGGATATTTTGGCCCCTCTGTAAATCTCTGGGTTTTTGTAGTACTAGGAAAAATCCACAGCACACATGTAGAGCTGACGAAGCCTTGTAAATCAAACCCAGATTACTACATCCAGGAGTGCTGCATTTGGCTCTGTGTAATGAAGATCCAGCGGTAGGATTTCCTCCCTTGCAGGTACTACCCGCTTGGAAAGGGAGGCTACCGGATGGAAAGAAACCTATCACGAGCCCATCTGGGGCTTTTCCCCATCCAGTGGGCACGATGTCCGTTGTGCTGGTTGGTGAATTTGCCACATAACACCTCTTTTCTGTCATTTATGTTTTATAACATTTCTGGACCTCCGTGCCAATAAAACCAAGAACCTTCTTGTTTAGCTCAGAAAGGACATAAGGGATCTATGATCCGACCTGGCGAATCAGGTCAGCAGTCAGACCGATAGATCGGCAACAGTAGTTGGCATGACCTGGCAGAAGCCACTGTCAGAGAGATCTCTGATGATCTTAGTGACATGCCTGTCACTCTTTATCACATCTCCTGGCACGATAACTGGAATGTGAGGGGGTGGGGGTGAAGGCCACATACAATGCCATGGTGAGCTGAATGGCAGTTGCTTTCCTTAGTCAAGAGCCCATAAACCAGACAGAAAGGAGGCTGCATTATGGGAAAGGCAGACACCATTTTCCTTTGTATAAAAGAAAAATGGTATCTTCTCATATCCTGTAAGTAATGAAATCTACAAAGCACTTGTGATGTAGGGGTGAGGGCATCATCCTCAGTTCTCCCAGACTTAGTCTTGCTTAATCCACTGTTTGATCCCCTTGGGGTTTCATGCTAAACCCAATGCCACCCAACTCTTATGATCTCTGTTCTTGACTGTGTTCCCAGTGGCTTCAACTCCTCACCTACGTATGTTCTGGATTCTTCAAGAAACATGGCCTTATCTCTTCTGGAACTTGCCAGAAGGCAGGGACTGAATTTAATACCTTTACCAGGGTTGGAATACTTAGATGGTTTCCTCTTTCCACCTGCAAGTTCAGAACAAGGTTCTGCACTTAGGGGCACATTTACTTAGCTTATATCCCTCTCATTTCTTAACAACCCAGCCCTAAGAGTGCAAACCCAATAATCCAGGTGGTTCCAACTGAATAGTCAGGTATTTCCCCTGAATACTTACACGTATGCCAAAGTGGCACTGAAGTGCTTGTAAATGTAGGTTTCAAGGACAGGATTAAAATGCTGGAACTTGATGTCTCCAATCAGTGAAATAATAAATACCTGCCAAAGGCAAAAAATATGAATAGCAGCGCTGTATGGCCCCAGGCATTCTGTCAATAAGCTGGTTGTTAACATCCTGGTGCCTTCTTTTCTTTCTTGACCGTTTTTGTAGCGTTCCCACTCTACTCTTCCAAAGCTGAAGTGAAGTCTTGGAGTTTCTTTTGATTTGACGTCAATAGAGAAACGATCACGTGTCAGGCACTGAGCTAAATGCTCTGAGGAACCTAAATAAGAGCCAGCGTCCCTGGCCTCAGAGAGCTCACTGTCTTAAAGAAAGGCCAGTGCGCAAGCAACATGAGTCGGGGGAAAAAAAATGGGAGAGTCAGAAGATGCAGAAAGGGGAATCCTGTGGGAAAAATAAACTCTAACCCAAGGATACAGCTACTGAAATATTCCATGACCTAGTTGTCCTGAGTGCAGCACGAGTGCCCTCAATAACTGAACTTCATCGGAGGTGCCTCTCAATTTCTCCTTCTTCTGTCACCGTTATCGCTATCAGGCGTGTAATCTACAAATAACCACACTGCACCTACCGAACACAGAAGAATGCAAACCACGGGGGATGCCTGCATATAACCGCTGGCAGCTGCTCTGTCCCAGGAGAACCTTAGACCTCGTCCCCTAGAACCCACAACCATTCTTTCCCATAAATCTGGCCAGGTGTGAACTTCGCTGTAGCTTTTATTCTCTTTAAGATCTTACATCTTTAACACCCTGATCATTTCTGGAACTTATCAATTTCTCCAAGCTGGTGCAATACCTATTATTCCTTTGCTGCAACATCCAGGTATAAATCTACATAGAATTTTCACCTCAACAATGAGAAAACAATGCTTGGTTTGGATGGGACTGCTTCCTCCACTCCAGTACGATTTGCGCCCTTCCAAGATTTTAACATCAACTCTCATTGTCTAGATCTCAGGGTTTGGAATGCGCTGTATGTTTAAGTACTTGGTGTGGCCTATTTAATTGTCTGCTGTGCCATGTGTTGTGCATAATGAGACTGATAATTCATTTCTGATGTAAGAATTCAGTCTCCCTTGTGCAAACACACAACACGGCCACGATCATCCTGGTATCTCCTGGCTTATAATTAGGTAATTAAAAAAAAATTTGTTTTAATGTTTATTTCTTGAGAGACAGATAGAGAGAGAGTGAGACGGAGGGAGGGAGGGGTAGAGAGAGGGAGACACAGAATCTGAAGCAGGCTCCAGGTTCTGAGCTGTCAGCACAGAGCCCGATGCAGGGCTCGAACCCATGAACCACAAGACTGTGACCTGAGTCAAAAATCAGGGCTTAACTCACTGAGCCACCCAGGCACCCCAAAGGTGCCTTTGTTTTTGAGAGAGAGATCGAGCAGGGGAGGGGAAGAGAGAGAGGAGATAGAGGATCTAAAGCAGGCTCCACACTGACAGCAGAGAGCCCAATACGGGGCTCAAACTCATGAACTGTGAGAACATGACCTGAGCTGGATCAGACAGTCAACCAACCGAGCCATCCTGGCACCCCTATAATTAGGCAATTAAAAAAAATTTTTTTTAACTTTATTCATTTTTGAGAGACAGAGACAGACAGAGCATGAGCGGGGAAGGGGCAGAGAGAGAGGGAGACACAGAATCTGAAGCAGGCTCCAGGCTCTGAGCTGTCAGCACAGAGCCCGACGCGGGGCTCGAACTCACGAACTGCGAGATCATGACCTGAGCCGAAGTCAGACGCTCAACCGACTGAGCCACCCAGGCGCCCTGGCAATTTTAAAGTAAGCTGTTTCTAATTTAAATTCTAGGAATTTAGGCTAAAGAAACAATCAGAGAGATGTATACAAGTATTTATGCAGGAGAATATTCGTTGCAGTCATTTATAATAGTGAGATACTGGAAACCACCCAGTTGCAAGAATAAAACTGCTTACCAGTGCATCAAACACAAGGAAGTCGTAGGTTTCGTTGTCCGACATTTCCATCATTATGTTAAAAAGTGCATCTAGCGTATCTTGCAAAAACTGAAGATAAAAAAAAAGGCTATGTCATGCTTTACGTTCAGTTCTCTACTGCAGAAATTCAGGGAAAATTGGGTTTCAATAGGAAAGGCTTAAAAATAGCATTTCTTAAAAATCGGCACTTCTACTTCCTGATGTAGATAACAAGTTTATATATACATATGATATGTATAAATATGTATATCAGTACATAAAATACTATACTATTATATATAACAGTATTATTATATATTACCAACACATTATTAATAACAATGTTAATATTATATTAATATATATATATATATATTTTTTTTTTTTTCTGGAGAGAGTGCCTGCATACACGTGAGGGAGAAGAGCAGAGGGAGGGAGAGAAAGAGAGAGACAGAGAGTCCCAAGCAGGCTTCGAGCTGTCAGCTCAGAGCCCGATGTAGAACTTGATCCCACAACCCTAGAATCATGACCTAAGCCAAAATCAAGTGTCCCCCAGGTGCCCCACAAGTCGCATACTTCTAATCACTGATTTAATGTGAAATGTTGAACTAGGGATACAGTGACTGTGTTTCCAAGCATGAACATACCTTAACAATCTCACTGCCATCCACCTCCATTAACTTCTTCAAGTTGTGTTTAATGTTCTGGGAGTTCGAACGCCAATTTAACAAGCCCAACAGGTCAACTGGGAAGAACGAACACCAACCATAAAATCAGACACTGATTACAAGAAGCAACCCACGCTATTTCAGGATACAACTCCAGAACTCTCTAGAAAAGATAACTGCTCTTGATAGTGACTAATTCCTTACGTATTCTTCAAAAATTTTATTGTCTCCTATCTAGATCAGAAAAACCTTATAGTCTTTCGTTCATCAGAGAAAAAAATTAACCAATAATATAGAAAGAACATAAAACTGAATTCCTGAATGGCATTCACATTTCTGAAATAATGGCATCATAGTCATACAGATGAAAACTTGAAAAACAATACTCTTAAGTAAACTCCCTACCTTTGATTCGGGAAGTACTATAAATGGAATTTAATTATAGATTTATCTGATTCCAAAAAACCTTGACCTTGCTGCTCTACCATACTGCCTTCCCAGAGTTCTTCAAAGGAACAGATGAGATAGGTTGGCATTTCAAAGGAAGGCGGAACAGACTTGCATAGTCCTTCGGGTAAGACTGGGACAGAAATCCTCAAGTGTATTTGGACTTGAAGTGCGGAATTACGGATCTTTAAGCCATTTATAGCTTTAATTAACGTTGAGTTAACAAAAGTGGGACAGAAATAGAACAGGCATCTGGGCTGTTACCCTTTTATCATTTTGTTTAGTTTATCAAGTTACTCTTCTAATTTACAGAGCATTACCTAAGTAGCAATACATTCTGTTTAATCCATGGACTTGTATAATTATATAGAAGTTGGTGAAAACACATACTCTTCATTAGAATAGCCAATCTCCTTCATGAGTGTTTTTTTATTCTTTTTTTCATTTTATTTATTACAGAAAGAGAGTGAGTGAGCTGGGGAGAGGGGCACAGGGAGAGAGAATCTCAAGCAGCCTCCCTGCTCAGCATGGAGCCTGACTCAGGGCTCGATCCCATGACCATGAGATCAGGACCTGATGGGAAAATCAAGAGTAGGATGCTCAACCGACTCAGCCACCCAGGTGCTTCCATGAGTGTTTGTTTTCTTAGCTTGTGTATTGTTTAGTCCCTGGGAAACCTCCAAAATCCAGTGCCTAAAGACTCCCCAATGTCAACAGAATCAAGTCCCAAAACCACTCACAGCAGGTGGTAAGGCCCCACCTGTGCCTTCCTGTCACTCCACCGCCCCCACCATTTAAGATCCACCTCAAACTTTATTCCCTCTGGGAAGACTTAGCCAATCATTCTGTGCTATTTGCGCTCCTTTCTGCATATGCGCGCGCGCGCACACACACACACACACACACACACACACTTATAACCAATAATAAAGACACACTTGGTACTTCTTTGGCTCTTCCCATAGATGTAAGCCACTTGAGGGCAGGAACCATAGTGCATTCATTGTCGCACACCCTCATATCGCTAGGCGCCTAGTAGGTGTTCAACACATGTTGGAGGAAAGAATAAATGGGTGGATGGAAAGGGAACTGGTAGCCCTGAGGAAGCTGGTAGTGTGCTCAACACAATTCTTAAATGTATTCATTTGTTCAGTTAGCATTTAGTAATAGACGCTGTGCTGGGCTTATCCACTAGGCACTGTCTATTTCCATCGTCCCGTCTCCTATTTCCACCAGAGGCCAGTCAAGGGTACCGCTCCATTTGTTACTTCATCCCACCAGATGCCGCCTGAGGGCAAGGATTTTAGGTATTTCATTGGCGTCAAGAGTCACCCAGCAGCTTTAAACATCTGCAGACAACCCTTCGATCAGCCCTCAGGTTTACACCCTAGAAATATTTCCGTGCCACATCACTGCCCATGTTAGGAATATACTTGGCATCTGGTGAATCATAAGGTCCTTGGGCTAGAAGACGGGCAGCAGTTTTAGAGTGAAACTCCCTAGACTTCCTGCACTCCTGAGATTCACGTGGGTCGAGGCATACACCTCTAGTTAATTCATGTCAATTGCTGCACAGTATCTCTCCTATTGTGCAGACGTACCACAATGTGTTTGTCCATTCCACTGTTGATAAACATTAGAGCTGTCTGCAGTTTTTTTTTTTTTAACATTTTTTAAAATTTTATTTTGAGAGAGGGAGAGGGAGAGGAAAAGGAAGAGGGAGAGGGAGAGGGAGGGGGAGAGAGAAATCCCAAGCAGGTTGTACGCTGTCAGCAAGGAGCCCAATGTGGGGCTCAAACTCACGAACTGCGAGATCATGACCTAAGCCGAAATCAAGAGTTGGATGCTAAACCGCCCGAGCCACCCAGGTGCCCCTGTTTGCAGTTTTTCTATTAATCACAAACAATTCTCTGCCGTGAACATTCTCACGCATCTTCTGGTATCCAGGTACAGCAGCTTCTCTAGGGAATAAAACTAGAATGGAATTTCAGGATCATCAGGAATGACCATCCAAATGTTATCCAAAGTCCCCTCAATCTATGTCCCTCCCCAAAGTATTTGAGAATTCAGGATACTCTGAATGACAATCCCCAAATTAAGGCTAGTGACCATTTTAGGGAAAGGATTACACGCCTTAACACTTAAAAAAGGAAAGAAAAATAAAGAAAAACCGTAAGTTTTGGAGTTACAAATATCTATTTTCAGACATGAACTTAGGCAAAATATTTTAGCACTTTTAATTCAATTTTCTGAGCAGTAAACAGGATAATAATAGCAACACTGATGTCTTCATGTGCTAGTGTGTTGGAGGGTAAAAGAAATAACCAGGAATCGCCCAGCCCAGGGCCCCACCTGCAGGGACTTGAACTCCCCTCTCCCTTTTTTGGAGACACAAATCTACGGTCACCCTCCATAAGGACCCGGCAACAAATGATCCCGTATAAATAGAGCCTGAACTGGTTTTGAAAAAACGAATACATAAAGAGTTTAAAAGCTCTGTTTGTAACAAAGGCCAGTGGCTTTTAACCTTTTGAGTCTGAACAGTCCTCATAAGGCTAAAGAGAAATGCCCTTGGTCATGGTCTCTATGTGAAAGAACACTACCCTCTTTATCAGTAAATGCCCTCTTAGAGTTGATGGTTTTGCACTGTTTTACAGCTTTTTCTTTCTCAGAATTCATTGAATTGGTTCCTTATGATTTCCATCAAATTAGAAGAAGGCAAATACATAAGCAGCCCACGACCCTTATTATTATTTGTCCCTTGGAATACCCCGTTTCCTCTGATGCTCAGGATGTCCTGCTGTCCTCTTAACTTCTCCCACATCTGTCCTCTCCCTCCATGGTCACGATGACAGCACATCACTCCTCCCTGGTTCTGATGAATTTGCCTCTTTAAACCTTCTTTGGGATGGGATTTTATATAAGACTTTAGGTTTTGGGGTTTGGTTTTTATTTTCAGTATGTTAAGATGGGGTTTTTTTTTTTTGAGACCTAAACTCTAAGAATGGGGAAGACAACAAAACAGAGGGCAATTCCATTTGATGGAACTTTCTTGGCTGACGGAGAATCTGTGTATCTGCCGCCCCACACAAAAGCCCCCAGCAGCACGAATCCAACAGGACATCAGAAAGGGGACTGGCGGAAACCGAGGAACTGAATTCATACCTTCCTCTGACACTAACTGAATTTCACAAGCTCTGCATGTCTTGCGGCCGCCACAGTGGGACAGCACGGGTTTAGAACATCTACAAGATAAGCAGCGTAGGTATCAGCAGATCAAGTGTTTGAGTACGGCTGTCAGTAAGCTTCTATATTTTTTGACTGGAGATAATGAGCAATTGAACAATCCGGTTATCTCTGATGGAAATTCCCTTTGCTATTTGTTCGAAGTTAATTTTACCTACTTTTATCCCTTGCTTTATTTGAAGTCTAATCTCTGGAGGGCATCATCTACCCGGTAAATGCTATCTCTCTTGATTATCCCTGAATAGTCCTAAAAGTGCATTAATGCCTCGTGTCTGCTACCATACTTTCAACAAGTAACATTTTAACATGTCATAGTTAAAAGTTTGGAAAGTTAACAGAAAGAATACAGAAAATAAGAACCGTCCCAAGTGTCTAGTGGGTTAGACACTTATCTTGCTTTTACTGACTTTAATTTACTTCCTTCTTTGAAATATATACTAGTCTCACTCCCATGTTTTTAAATATAATTTATTGTCAAATTGGCTAACAGTGTGTACAGTATGGTTTTGGGGGTAGATTCCTGTGGTTCATCGCTTACCCCATTTAAGTGTATTTATTTATTTTGAGAGAGAGAGACAGAAAGAGACAGAGTGAGCAGGGGAGGGGCAGAGAGGGAGACAGACAATCTCCAGCAGGCTCTGTGCTCAGAGCAGACCCCGACACGGAGCTTGGACCCATGAATTGTTAGATCATGACCTGAGCCGAGATCGAGAGTCAGGCGCTTGACCCACTGAGCCACCCGGGCACCCCAGTCTTGCTCCCATTGTAAAGATGAGGAAACCAAGTCACAAAGAGATCACGTGACTTGCCTGAGATGAAACAGCTAGTGTCAGAGCTGGGACTTGCATCCAGGCAACTGGCCCCAAATAGTCAACGTGGATCTGAACAAAACTAGGATTATACTCCTCACGCTGTTAAAATTTTCCCACGCCTTTGATTACATTTGGAAATACACTTGGCGGCTGCCCATATTTTATTTAATTACATGATAATGCCCCCATTTACTAGACACGTGGATTGTTTCCACCTTTCCCCTCTTAGGAATATCAGGAAGACATCTTCACACGTGAATCTTTGTGCGTATCTTTCATTGTTTCTTTAGGTTTAATTTCTAGGGGTGAGATGGTTGGGTCAAAGGGTCTGAACACATTTCCGATCTTTGATCCACTTTCTAAATCATCTTCCATAACTGCTGTACCATTTTAACCTTGTTCCGGCCGTTGATTGCATTTACTTCTTTCCCTAAGAAGGATCGTGCCACTGATGTAATACTGTCCTATCTTCTCTGAAGCTAGGAATGTTTTCTGGCTTGCTTGCTGTTTCTTTTTCTCAATAAAAAGACTTTGCTTTCCCGAGCGGTTTTAGGGTCACTGAAAAATTAAGTACAAACTACAGACAGTTCCCCCATCCCCTTTCAGTGCTCCCCCGACTTCCCCTACTAGCATCCTGTATTTTTTTTTTAATTTTTTTAACGTTTATTTATTTATTTTTTATTTTTTATTTTTTTTTCAACGTTTTTTATTTATTTTGGGGACAGAGAGAGACAGAGCATGAACGGGGGAGGGGCAGAGAGAGAGGGAGACACAGAATCGGAAACAGGCTCCAGGCTCCGAGCCATCAGCCCAGAGCCCGACGTGGGGCTCGAACTCACGGACCGCGAGATCGTGACCTGGCTGAAGTCGGACACTCAACCGACTGCGCCACCCAAGCGCCCCAACATTTATTTATTTTTGAGACAGAGAGAGACAGAGCATGAACGGGGGAGGGTCAGAGAGAGAGAGGGAGACACAGAATCTGAAACAGGCTCCAGGCTCTGAGCGGTCAGCACAGAGCCTGATGCGGGGCTCGAACTCACGGACCGCGAGATCATGACCTGAGCTGAAGTCGGATGCCCAACCTACTGAGCCACCCAGGCGCCCCTAGCATCCTGTATTATTGTGGTATGCTCGGTATAATTAATGATCCCATATGAATACAGTATATTAACTAAAGCCCACAGTTAACATTTAGGGTTTACTCTGTGTAGTACCTTCTGTGGGTTTTGACACGCATCTACGGAGCCATCACGGTATCATATACCCTGGTTTCACCGCCCCAAAAACCCCCTGTGCTCTGCCTGTTCCTCCCTCCTCCTCCCCTCGGGGCCTTTGCCACCGTGAAGCTTTTCACTGTCTCTGCAGTTCTGCCTTTTTTTTCTGGCTTAATTCTTGGTGAGTGTGTTTTCACTTTCCCATATGTCCCGGCTCTGCACTTCACTCTTGTTGAGTCTGGCCACTCGTCCAAGTTGAAATCCTATCTATATTCTCTAGCCAACCACGCTTCATCAAAACAAACAATACTGACCCTCTCTTTCTAAGGACCGGCCAACATCTGATCCCTGAGTGTACCTCATGTCTAAACTGTTTTGTCTACCCCTGAGCACTTCTGTAAGGCAGAGCCCTGGCCGTGTTCCTCTCCCAAATCTTCTAAGAGGCCAAAGGGACTAATCCTCGATACGTCACAGGAGCTATGGGATTTCTACGGCGTGTTTCCGAGGTTCCTAATTCTCGCCTAACTCTGCTCAGCAGAACTCCTTACACATAACCTAAGTTAAGTGAGTGAGAAATGCCATCATACACAGAGGAGAAGTTGAAACTGATACCAGAGGTTTCAAGAAGGAACAAAGTGAATCTGAACTATTCGGCCGACTTAATGAAAAGTCCCTCACTGCTTGGGAAAAAAAGTGGGAAAGAGGAGGCTCCATGGGGGGAGGCAGGGTGGGGCGCGGATGGAATTCTGACAGGAAACCCTCCCTGCCCTTGGCCATACCTGTTTGGGTAGGAGACTGGTTCTTCTTCTCTGCCAGGGTCCTCCCCCCCTTATTACCAACATTTGTTGTTTCATCCATTATACAGAGTACCATTCTTTGCTGCCTTGAAGGAAGGAAACGTAAGACTTCTACAATTTTTCAGCCTCTGTTGATGAATACACTTAGGGGTTTTCTGGTATTAAACACTACCAAGGGGCGCCCGGGTGGCTCGGTCGGTTGAGCGTCCGAATTCGGCTCAAGTCATGAATGATCTCACGGTCTGTGGGTTCGAGCGCCGCATCGGGCTCTGAGCTCCCGATCCTGTGTCTCCCTCGCTCTCTGCCCCTCCCCCACTCTCACTTTGTCTCACTCTGGTCTCTCAAAAATAAATAAACGTAGGGGCGCCTGGGTGGCGCAGTCGGTTGAGCGTCCGACTTCAGCCAGGTCACGATCTCGCGGTCCGGGAGTTCGAGCCCCGCGTCAGGCTCTGGGCTGATGGCTCGGAGCCTGGAGCCTGTTTCCGATTCTGTGTCTCCCTCTCTCTCTGCCCCTCCCCCGTTCATGCTCTGTCTCTCTCTGTCCCAAAAATAAATAAATGTTGAAAAAAAAATAATAATAAAGAAATTTAAAAAAAAATAAATAAATGTAAAAAAAAAAAAACAAAAACAAACCCTACCAAGATACTTTTCATCCTATTTGAAAGATAGGCAAGATAACCTCAGAAAGAGCATTAGCTATTTGACCAGTAGTACCCACAACGCCAAGTGAAGAACAAAGAGAGGAATCCAAAGCACCTCGCACTCCACCTCAGAAGACGCAGCCCCATGTGGTTTAGCCCCCTGGGTCTAACAAAGAGCCCAGGGCAGCCAAACAGACAAGTCACTGTGGTGTCACTATGGTAACCACACCTACCGTTCTGGGTGAGCTTTGTGGAGCAAATGAGGGTGGCAATCTGAAAGCT